TCCAGTCAGGTTCTATAAAATGTGGAAGTCTTTTAATGGTGTGGGAAAATAACAAGATACTGTATTATATGAAAGATAAATATGTACTATTCATTAAGACTTCTGTCATTCATATTATTTTTAATATTGTGATATTTAGATTTTGTATTTGTGTTTGTAAGTAAATGGACACAAGGCACAGAGCGTCACAATAATCAGAGCTTCCTCAATTGATCAAACTCACATGGTTTTATATTGATTTCTGTACTGTGCCAAATCATTTCCACACTGGCTTCAACACAATGCAAATGACTTTGTGGCTCATCATAGTTATTGCCAATATATATGAAAATCAAATGAATTTTAAAATATTACCAAATGATACAACAGATTACATCTTTGGATGTTGTGGTTTAATACCAGCTTTTAAAGTACAGTAAAACTATTTGGTTGCAATAGTGAGAAGCGTTTAGTATTTTCCTAGAAAGAATGAAATGATTATGATGCTGTTGCACAACAGGTTATTTCAGGATGAAATTGAAGTCTGTTGACATAATCAATAATACGATCTGTATGCTACAATTTAATGACACATAAATTACTACACTATTTTCATACTCAGTTTAACATTTATATTTATGTGATGTAAATATTGGTTACACTTTATTTCGATAGTCCACTTTAGACATTCTATTAACAGTAAGTAACTTTGCAACTACATGTCTACTAACTCTCAGAGTAGACTGTTAGGATTAGTAGAATAAATTGACAAAGAAAGTGTTAGAAGATATTAAGCAAATAGTCTACTAATACTCTACTAATACTAGTTGACATGTAGTTGCAAAGTTACTTACTGTTAATAGAATGTCTAAAGTGGCCTATCGAAATAAAGTGTTACCTAAATATTATACAGTACATTACATTTTTTTTACTTTACATGTCACGCTTGTAATCCTCACTTTTTAAAAACATAATGCTTGCTTTTTATGCATAGGAGATGTTACAAAATCTGGTATACTGGTATAAAAGTGTCGACATATTAATTAAATTAATTAAAATATACATTTTGAATATTAAGAATCTATTTTATATTTTAATTAATTAATATTTAATTAATATTTCAATTTTACTGACTTAAAAAACACTTACCTGACGTGTTGTCAGGTCACCTGTGTTGGCTTCTGAAATGCTTGACTTATCAATAGTCAGATCCGTGTTCCCTCTCTACCTGTCTCAGCCCAAACCAGTGCACCCAGTGCAAGACTGTTACTTTCAGACCTCAGCTGACAAAACTACAGCCTGAACAGAAGCACTTGTCTTGAAGGAGACCACTCTATGAGACACACACAAATTCTGCTGTTCTTCAGACTGGCTCAGTTCAACCTCTGCCCGGTCAGATGCATTTATAGCCCCCCAGCAGATCATTTAGGATTCCCCTGTCCAAGGTTTACCACGTCAGTGATAACACTCGGAAAGGGGAGTGTGTCTGTGTAGGCACGTGTATGTGTGTGCCCATTTATGTGCATGGTTCAAACTGTCTGAGTGTGGCATCAGATAATGACCGTGTGAAGGTGTCTGCTATTAAATGTCTGTGATATGAAAGACCTGATGTGCCCTGGGAACTATATATACCATATATATATGGTACACTCTCAGAAAAAAATTGTACAAAGGCTGTGACTGTGGCAGTACCTTTCAAAAGGTACTAATATGTGCCATGTACCATTTTAAGTACTTCCACTAAACATCAACCAATCCATATTACAGATATTTAGAACTAAAACTGAAATAAAAAAAATGATATAAACTGTATAGATACATTTTTGAAAACTAAAATGACAAAAACACACAAAATTACTCAAACTTTAATGAAAATGTAAAAATAAAATCTAATTCAAAATATTAATACTACACTCTAAAAAAATGCTGGGTTGTTTCAACCCAACTTTGGGTCAAATATGGACTAACCCAACTTTTGGGTTAAACATTTAATGTAAAAATTTAACCCAACGTTTGGGTTAGTCCATATTTGACCCAAAGTTGGGTTGAAACAACCCAGCATTTTTTAGAGTGTACAATAGTACCTCAATGATACAAATTATTTTTGTACACTATTAACCTGTTTACACAACAGCTGACAATATATGCATATTTGAGTCATGAAGGAATCAAACAAATCTGTCTGTCTTGTAAAAGAAATACATATTGTGCAGTACAATTTAAAATGTAATTTTTTTATTTACATTTCAAATTTACAAAGTTACAAAATGCTATAAAATGTGACAAAATAATTCACCTAATGTTCCTCTTCCATAAAATCAACTAGGAGAGGCCATAACCCAAAAATTAGCTATCTCCAAAAAGCCCAGAACTCCCTCTTTAAGATATGTGATATTTAAAACTATTTTAATATAGTAATAAAGATAATGTCCTCTGCAGAGGACAAAAATGAACTGCTGGTTCTCTTGAGAGTATGTGTGAGGACACAACTAGTGTGTGTGTGTGTGTGTGTGTGTGTGTGTGTGTGTGAACCCTGAATCTAGGACACTGATCAATAACATTCCTGTTGACCCTGCATTTGCACTGGATCACATGACAATCAGTCTCTGAATGAATGAGATCATTATTATGACGGTGAGGGAAACATCCATCCATCCATTTTCCAAACCATTTGTGTTTGCGAGGATGCTGGAGCCTGTTCCAGCGTCTGGGGCCATATGCGGGGAAACACCCTAGACAGATAACCAGTCCATCAGGGCAATGGGGGAAATCTCCCCTGATATATTTATATATAACATGTCATATTAGGAGTCATAGATTAGAATATAATAAAGCATTGTAAATCAAACTTAGTATAGTAATCAGCTCCTTTCCCCACATCAAAACTCTGTATTAAAAAGAAGTTGTGACTTCGGAGTGAAACTGCAGTGCTCTCTGCTGGTTTAAAAGCACTGGTTAAGTAAGCATGACTCTCTGCTATTATGTCTTAACTTCCTTTGTGTAACTGAAAATAAACATTATTGATAGCGATATCATATAACATGAGAAACCAGGCCTAGGTGTCACACTTTTTGCATCAAAACAATACAGTTACAATACTTACTGAATGTGAATGTTGTGACAACATGCCCCAACAGTGCATATGCATGGGAACCAGCCTGTTTTTTATTTATTTATTTTTTGGCTAAATTTAAGCAGTTAAACCATAATGAATAGTAAATAATTTGTAAGAGTTTTGAATTTGGCGTGTGAAAGTACCATATAAATTTGTGTAGCCTAATAGACATCAAGTTCAAACAAAGTTAGTAAGGTACATGAAACATCCCTTTATGACAATTACCTAATTATAAAGATAAAAGCTATAGATAGATTTTTAGAAATATAAGATATTTTAGATAGTTTATTTTAAGTACAAATAGTGTATCCTTAGAACACAGTGCAGTAAAATAAGTTATACTTATGTCACGTTGTTACATGTGTTACTTGCTGTTTCTTTGTAATTAACTGTGAAATTTACTAGCAATTTGTAAGTGATTTTTTTTTTTTGCATCAATTTTCCAGTGTACACACAAACAGACAGACCCTATGACCTTAAAAGAGACAGTAGAGAAGCAATGCAATTCTGTTTGGAGCTGATCGATCACTGAATAAATGATTTTCCCAGTTTAGACTAATGGAGCCACCAACTGTTTTCAGTTCAGTTATCTCTCCTTTTCGAAAACCACCAGTTTTATAACCATTATTTATGATTATGAGACAGAGTAAAGCTGTCTTTCTGTTATTAGCCTACTTGAAGTGATATGTTTTGCTATAAATAAATCATCTAAGACTGACCTATGAAAACAGCATACACAATAATATGAAGTGCTTAACACAAAGACAAGACTGGGGTGCAGTAATCTACCTCAGATCAACTATTCATGCTCAGCTATGATTTGCATTAGGGAACACAAGGTGTCCAAAAGATGTAAAAGGAAAACATACTAATATTAGCAGAAAATATAAATATCATTGATGCATTAAGATCTTTCTCACCTTTTCTCCTATGCGTAGAGATTCACACGTGAAAAATAACTAATGTAACTTCTAATCAGTGCTATTTTAGTAGATTTACATGTACATTATTATATTATTTATTAATATTTTGAGTTCGATTTTATTTTTATATTTTCAGTTTTCATACGTTTCATGTTTGTCATGTTTTTACTATTTCTAGCTTTAATTCATTTTATTTCAGATTTAGTTTTAGTCATTTAATACTTCCAATTAAACTTCAAACGTTATTTCAGTTAGTTGCCAACTAATCTTTTTAATCTTTTAATGAGATTTTTGTTTGTTTTAAATCTAATTTTTATATTTCATTTTATTTCAGCTTTATTTCAATGACCAAAAACTACTTTTTAATAGTTTATTAAGTAATGTGCTTATATTTTCTGCATCACAATATGTCAACTCAATCACCCAAAGAAAAAATAAAATAGCTACTCACTTAAATAAGGGATATGCAAAATGGTTTTGTCAACACAATAATAGACAATTCAACACATAGGGCTGGAAATCAACTTGAAACGATCCTGTAATAATTAATTCATAATCAAATATTTGATCATGGTAGAGTAACAGACTGTCAGAAAGTAAATGAGCTGGGTCTATCTCATGTGTTCTTATAGTTACATTTAATGTAAATGTGGTTTTGATAAGTACTTTCACTTTAAAATGTATGCTTATGAATTTGTTAGTATATAGTTTAGGACTTTAAAATGTTTATTTATGTTTTATGACCATTTTGAGAAATAACAACGAAATTGTAGTGTCAGTGTTGCTATTTCATGTCAAACTGCATGGTGGCGCTGAAAGCTGGTCACTCATGAACTCTTATGGCACAGTCGAGGAAGAAGGTTCCAGTGGATTTGACATAAGCGTGACTGGGGCTGGAGACTAAGACTAAGTCTTAAGTCTAAGTCTTGAGACTAAGAGCAGCGGTATCCTCTAGTACTGCAGCCAAAGACGTCGGATGTACAATGTCCCGGCAGTCTCCAGCCGACTCTGAACGGCCAGGAAATACAGTCTTGGTGTGTTTGGTAACAAACATCACCTAAAAAGGCAGAAAATGAGTGATGTTGACAGGTTATGCACTGTAATGCTGATTGTAGTTGGCCTCTATAGTCTCACATATACAGTCCTGCTTGTGCAGGAATGCATGCTAGATCTCATCTGTCTTACTACTGTAATACCACACTTTTGGACATCTGTCGTGTTGATATTTTGTGGGGTTTAAAATGAAATGTCTATGTGGTGTTTAGCCTAAGTGCTCTAATAATAATAATAATATGTTTATGTGTATATGTAGGGTCCCACAAGAATTGACTACATCCCCACAGAGGAGGAGAGGAGAGTGTTCAGGGAGTGCAACCAGGAAAGCTTCTGGTACAGATGTGAGTGGAAATCCAGTGCTTTTAATCATTATTATGCTGGTTTATGTGGTTTTATTGATATCATAAGTGAATTATGCTTCTGTCTTTACGTACATACAGCTTTTCCTATATCTGTCATCAGCATGGGCTTCACTCAGTTCCTTATCTCTAGAGGTGGGTTTATATTTCATGCATAGGATAACATGTGATGTTAGATTGTGATATGCTAATGTCAACTATTAGTTATGTACTGATATGATATTCTACTTTTTTGCTCATTTAAGGTTTTTTTGTTAAAGTTGAAATTAATACTTTTAATTACCAAGGGTGCATTAAAGTGATCAGAAATGAAATAAAAAAAGGGACCAAATAAATGCTGTTCTTTGGAACATCCTATTCAACAAATATCATGAAAAAAATATTTTCACAAAAACATTCTACAGCACAAATGCTGTTTCTTGAGCATTAAATCAGTATATTATACTGATTTCTGAAGAATCATGTGACACTGACGGCAAAGTTAAAATACAATAACAGTTATTTTAAATTGTGATGATATATTTCACAATATTACTGTTATTCTAAATAACTGATCAAATAAATGCAGCCTTAGTGAACATAAGGAGAAGGGTGTTCCTGCATAACCGGAGGCTGCAGTTTCAGGACCGCATTTCTAGGACCCTGATGGTTTAGTTTGTAGTAATGTTTGTACATGTTGTTAAAGATTGAATCTCAGGAACATTTGTTTTTTTTTTCAATTGTGATTTTTGATTTATAAATGCATCAGATGTTAATTACAAAGTGTGTAATACCTGCTTTGAGTTAAAAATTGTAAATTTAAATTAATTTACACTTAAAATATAAATGAAAAATGTATTTCAGTCTTTAAACAACTGAAAAAGTGGAGTACCTTAAGTCTTAGTTTCTTGAAATATACTGTATATTGATTAGCCCCCTTAAGTTTAACTAGCTCATTATCAGGTATAATAAAGATGGAGTCGAATGAAATCAGCATTTGCAGTCACTAAATTACAGCCAGATATTTAAAAGTTTGTAGAAGGTAGGCAAGACACAAGACTCAAGAATGATTCAAGAATGCATACACTGTAAAAAAAAATTCCTTAAAATTTACGGTAAAAAACTGGCAGCTGTGGTTACCAGAATTTTACCGTAAAAAATACAGTAGCAATGTTTTAGGTTTTACGGTTTTAACTTAAATTTACAGTTAAATACCGTAATTTCATTAACTGATGTAATGTTATTATACCAACCTATTGAAGTACTGAAATCTGTTTTGTATCTTTGTAATACACTGATAACCACCAAATGCAGGTGGTGATGAGAAAGTCACATGATGAACCAAAGCCCATCACAAGCAGCTTTTAAATAATAACATATATAGAAGGTGCACAGTTCACAGGTGCCATTCACACAAACGCTAAACACCATCATGGTAACACACATGAAACTGAAATAATGCAATAAACATTCATTTAACAACATTAGGTGTAACACACAAACCTAATATACAAAACTGAGAAGAAAAAACTGAGAAGAAACAGTTATTTCAACAAAAAACATCAAATTTGAAATGTAACGCAGGGAATTCTGGGAATGTCAATTTACGGTTATTCACTGTAAATTATACAGTATTTTTCACTTCCAAAAACGGTATACTACCGTAAAATTTATATCCAATACATGTAATGTCCAATACAGTTTTTCACCGTATATAGTAGGGGAATTTACCGTTAACCATTTAACAGGTTTTTACTGTAGCATTTTTACAGTCTTTTACCGTTAAATTCACGGCCATTTTTTACAGTGTATTTATATACTGTATATACTCATTTTTGCAAAAACACAGAATACAACGTCATAAAAAATAGACCCCCTTTTCCATCAGTTGCTGCATGGACAGAAAGGCTGTAGCTTCAAATCCTGAGAGAGATTAAAAAAAATTTTTAAAAAAAGAGAGAGAGGGAGAGAGAATTAAATAAGAAACATTTGCTTTAACATGTTTAACTCTGTAATATATATTTCTGATTGAACACGTATACAATGTTGGGGTTGAAGAGAGAGAGAGAACCAAACAGAATAATCATGTTACTGACATCTAACTCTAAACTCCAAATTGAAGTATATAAGAGCAAAACCCACCAACTGAAGGTTCTCTCTTCTTTCCTCAATTGTTTGTCAATCCGGTAACACTTTCAATGAAGCCTGTATTTATAATACTTTATAAGGGTTTTCTTAAGGCATTATAATTAATGCATAAAGCATTATAAAAAAGCTTAATAATATGTTGTATCATCTCATAAATAATCATAACATTTATAATACATTATAATACTTATGCATTTGTGGTTATAACTTTTAAGAGTATGATTACATATAACACACAATGAATACCATAATAAATCCACTTCATTTATAATGGATTTTCTTGACATTGTTTATTTAAGATCTGGACAGTATCTTACTACATCTTGTGAGTGCTTAGGAGTGGTTGAGTGTTGTTTTGAATGTTTCCTGTGAGGTTATTATTAATTTCGCTGTGAGCTAGTTTAAGATCAATTGTAATACTTTCACCATTTTATTTTGATGGTCCCCTTTAGTCTATTGACTATAAGCAACTTTGCAACTACACGTCAACTAACTCTTATTATAGTATTAGTAGGCTTAGTTAGGGTTGGTAGAATAAGTTGATGTACTTGCAAAGTTGCTTATAGCGAGTAGAATATATGTTGGGGAACCATCAAAAAAAAGTGTTAGCAGATATTTAGCATACAGTCTACTAATACTCTAATGACTGCTAGTTGACATGTAGTCGCAGAGTTACTTATCAACAGTTGTCTAAAGGCTACCATCAAAATAATCAAACTGATATTACAATAAAAAATAGTTCAAAGCAAATGTGTACACATTCATCTGATCTGATAGCAGATCTTATGGCTCTTTGAGAAAAAGTATTATTATTTATAAGTGGTCTTTAAGTGGTCTTTAAGTACAGTGAAGTTACTTCACTTAAAGCAGACAAAGAGCACTTAATAATAATAATAAGACCACATTAAAGCATTTCGGAATGTTTTCATGAAGACTTTGTATTTGTTATTTTACAGTAAAAACACAAATAAGATGTACTAAGTTATTGTGCAGATCTTAAACAATGGCAAGATATGAGACCTATAACACATTATAACTATGAGAAATATAATCCATTGTAACTTAAGTGGATGCAATGTGTTCATTGTGTGTTATAAACCATCATACACTTAACCACAAATAAATATTATAATACATTAAAACTGTTCTTACCATTATTTATAAGATGATGTTTGATAGATTGAATATTAAATATACGCATGTGTTAAATATGTGTTAGCTGCTGGTGTTTTTGGGTACCTCGGAGGGAAGATGTCATACATGAAGACATGCCAGGAGAAATTTAAGAGCTTGGAGAGTTCAGCACTGAGACAGAGACAGCGCCACCAACCACCAGTGTGAGCCACAACATGCACAGACATGCCACCTATATTTAAAAGGGTGGCGTGCGATTTATGTGCTACTAGCATCACCAAATTCTCAAAGGATTCCTAAACACTCCTACTATATTCTTTCTGTCTTCTGTGGAACATAAAAGAAGATATTTTGGGAAATTGAGATTTTTTTTCCCCCCCAAACAATGGTCTATTGGTCTATAGTTGATTTTAACGTATTTCAGGTTTACCCATAAGCACCCGGAACTGAGTGATCCAAACAAAGCCGACTCTGAGCCGGCCTTTCAACTTGATGATCAGAGGAATCAGTCCTTCTCCTATTCGAGTGATTTCACTTACATGTCCTCAGCAACTCACTCTGACACCCAAATTACAGGTAGGTTAAAGTGTCTCCATCTGTTTGCATTAAAAACTGCCGGAGAGGGCAGCACGATAATGGTGAAACTGATAATCACAATTATTTTGCTCAAAAATGATCATGATTTAAAGGGATAGTTCACCCGAAAATGAAAATTCTGTCATTAATTACTCACCCTTGTGTTGTTCGAAACCCGTAAGACCTTCGTTCATCTTCGGAACACGATTTAAGATATTTTTGATGAAATCTAAGGGCTCTCTGACCCTCCCATAGACAGCAAGGTAACTACCACGATCAAGGTCCAGAAAAGTACAAAGATGATCGACAAAGTAGTTTGTGTGACATCAGTGGTTCAACTGTAAAGTTATGAAGCTACGAGAATACTTTTTTTGCGCAAAGAAAACAAAAATAATCATTTTATTCCACATTTTCGTCTCTACTGTGTCACTTGTGGACACGCGTTCACGACAGTATCATGACGCGAGAGCGTGTGGTGGCGCCGGACCCAGATCCAGCGTGATGTTGGTTTGTTTTACCTCTTCTAGTTTTCTAATTTACCATATTTAACAAAAATATTAATGCACTATCTAATCTAATCTTTACTGTATTTGTCCCCCAAGAGGGAAATTTGTTTTGGGCAATACAGGTAAAACTGCACAACAAAGTACCAACATCAATAATAACAATAACACAGTTGTGTCCCCTGAAACAGAGTTTAACAGCCTTGTAGCCAAAGGAACAAAAGAGTTTTTATAACGGTTATATCTAGACTTTGGAATACGAAAACGTCGACCAGATGGAAGTAATTCAAATTCTTGCTGACTATCTATTATAAACTGGTAAAACCCTAAGAAGCTTCTCTCAGAAGCTGCCAGTGAAATTCCTAATATTAATTCTAAACTAATATTAATTACTAAATTAAAAAACATTTTCCACCATTAAAGCAGCGAACAGACTTTGTAGCACAGAGCCACAATCCCAAACAATATGGTTCGGGATTCATGTTTGGTTTTATAACCCTCCTATCTCCAATCTCATTTCTTAGAATATTAAAAGAGTAGTTCAGTAGAGCCAATTTACATTGAGGAGGATGTACAGAAGAAACACATTCTGTACGAGGAGCTGCGGAGTAAGAACAGGGAACACTATGAAGTTACGACTCCGAAACCAGAGACACTGTTGAAGCCTTCGGCCGAGACCAACCCAGCCAAGAGAGGTGAGATATGACAATAACCAGCGTCCGAAACTAAAAAACCCAAATGTACATGGAGAAATAAAAAGTTACTACTTTTGACATAAGTGTCAGATTGAGACACAGGTCAAGTACACTAAATAAATACTTAACTGAGATCTGTCAATTGAATTTGTTTGATACTGTATTATGCCACAGCCAAAGCCAAGAAACAATGGAGTAGGTTTTCCTTCAAAAGTTTGGGGTTGGTAAGATTTCTTATGCTGACCAATTATTTAATCGTAAATGCACAAAAAAGAGACAATATTGTTAAATATTATTACAATTTAATATAACTTCATACACTTTTAAAAATGTAATTTATTCCTGTGAATATTCAGCAGTAAATACTCCAGTCTTCAGTGTCACATGATCCTTCAGAAATCATTCTGATAGGCTGTTTTGGTGCTCATGAAACATTTCTTACAATCAGTGTTGAAACCAGTTAATATTTTTGTGGAAACAGTAATACATTTTTATTCAGGATGATATAAACGATGAATAGAAAGTTCAAAAGAACAGCATTTATTTGAACTAGACATCTTTTGTATCATTATAAATGGTTTTACAGTTAATTTTGATAAATTATTTGATCAAATTAATTATTTCAAATCTATACTGACCCTAAAGTTTTTTTCTGTATTAAGTAAGAGTAGTGTTTTGTACATATACTAGTACAAATGTTTTATATACATATATATTCCTTTTTTTGTGTGTGTCTGAGAGATTGGCTTTGTACATATTTAATTGAGGTTAAGACACAGTTTTTGTTTTAAAATCGTGTACAGCTTAATACAATAATAATAGCAGCAAGATTTTTTTAATTTGTAAGGATGCACTTAGGCTTTTACATTCCCTGAAGACAATTCTAATGGTGCTTTCCCACTCAAAAACTGGTCCCAGAGTTCCCTTAGTATTGTGGTCCAGTTGCTATTGTACTTTGAGCATTTGTAGCACACCATGAAGTTGATTATCGTTTATAACATAAGTCCCTGATCCCCCCCCCCCCCCCCCCCCCCCCCCAACTCATTTCATCAGCACAATTGCATGAATTATTAAGGTCAGCAGGACATTTGATTCAGGGACGAGTTACATGTCATTGTTTAATTTATGAGATTCATAAACCCCTTATCTGAAGTATGAGCAATTATTAGCAGATACAGTTTTAAGACAGACTAAAACACAATAACTGTAATTAATTCAATATTAAACTCTTTGAATTCAAACAGACTTCACAATATAGGCTTATATTCAGCATTAAATGGAAAAATGAAACAAAAATCAAGTTGGGCATATTTTATTTCTGTACACACATTGTACATAAATACGCTGGAATTATTTTTGAAAAATAAAGACGATGTCCCTGGGATTTGGGATGACATCAGACGAGAGATAGGAAATTGTAATTTCAGTAATAATATTGGTAATCGCACACACATACACACTTCATCAATTTTAAGTTTTAAGATCTAATAACCAATTGTTTTAGTATTGGGACATAACCGTTTTATTAACCTACAACTGGATACCTTTACACAAATATAGCTCACTGCGAGAAAATGTCTGCATAGGACTCCTGATCCAGGATTGAAACAATGATGAAAAAACAAAAATTAAGTGAAAAATATTAAATAAAAAAAAGCATTTCCACCCTGGAGAAACGCAGATATTTCGGGGTTCATAAAAAAAAAATAATAATAAAAATAAAATTTTCACCACCAATAAATTGTTCAAATTAATTAACTTTTTCAGTGACCCAACAAACCTATAAATGTTTTGTCTCTCACTTGTAAACAAAATTACAAACAAAATATCTCGGGGACAGACAGAAATACCCACACACACACACACAAATCAAGAGACAAATATTTACTGCTCGTCTTTTTAAACTGAGCAAGTAAACAAGGATAAAAAAAAACTAAAAAAAAAAAAAACCCGCAAACAAATCTAATCTGTGCTGCATCACTACCCATAGGTGCACCTGGACCGCATCCATTAATTTATTTAAAAAATAAATAAAATAAAAAAAGTGCTGTAAATTATCTCAGAAAATACCGTCCCGCTTTTTGCCTAAAATAACAAATAATAAAAATGAATTGCAAAGTCTATGGATATTTCAAAGTAGAAAGGTAAAGCTTGTTTTTCAGTTTTTTTGTTTGTTTGTTTTTTAATTAAAACTTTTTGTTATTTGATCTGCAGAACTTACAATATTACACCATGTGATTAAAAATTACACCACATCCCAAACCCATATATTTCTTTTGTAGATGAGTTTCTATGCCCCCGATATTTGTGTGTTTTTATAAACTGAGAGGTCAGTTTAACTCATTTCCCCCGGTAATTGACAGCATACCGCAAATGCTTTCGATAAAGCTAAACTTCTATTAAACCAGGAACATCCCTTGAAGTGACTCTGAACAAACTCACCCTCTTGCTCAGACAGATGACCGGCCACAGACTAAAGCCCAGGGTACAGCAACAGCACAGACAGCCGCACAGCAGCCAGCGCACATTCACCGGGAGAGCCTTCCTCAGACAGCTGTTCACACGGTTTATGCTGGCTTTGAACTCCTCTGGTGCGACCTGTAAATCAACAAATAAAGCAAGAACCCATGTCAGACCTCAGGATTACGTGGGACACTTGCCAAATTGTAAAATATACACTTGACAATCAGTTACTATTGAAAAGTGCAACTGTGCAAGTGAACATTCTGCTAAACTTCTGATTTGGTGCCCCACAAAAATGTTGGGCTAAACAATTGTTTTAAGCATTATATAATGTAACAGTGGTACACCATTCCTTTTCATTTCTGAATACCAGTAACAACAGACTTTGAGGCTTTTCATTTCTTCTCACTGAGATTACTAATATATAATTCTGCATGTAATATTATTTCCTTGAGAAAAACCCGCTGAAAAGACACTTACCTTTCCTGTAAGGGCTGAGGGAAACTCAGACGGGTCAGTGACTTCAACTAGACTCAAAAGTCCTGTCAGAGTCTAGATGCTGCGTGGCACAGTCAGTGTTTGATTGTCTGTGTATATGGATGATCATTTTTGAGAAGGAGAGATGGGGAACTATGTATTGTGCATTGACCGTGTCCATTTGGCTCTCAGCTAACTGAAAATCCATAGGAATCGTTCCTAACATCCATATTTTTAATTAATACAGTAAGAGTTTAATTCTACAGTTGCCACTTCCTCAAGCCATTCTTCACTGATCAGTTCCACAGTGATGGTTGTTGTCGGCAAAAGAACGTCACTTAGTTAGTACGCAGACTGTGTGATTTAGTTAAGGTATAGCAGACGTTCCAGTTAGGACTTTCCGTGGCCTCCTCGCAGGCTCTGTGTAGCCATGTGACAGTAAAGGTCACCGTGTGTATTCATGCACTCGCAAAACCAGAACGGCACAGACGTGTGCCTCAGTCTGTGCGTATGTGTGTATGTGGGTTGTAAACAGTGCTTTCTCGGTGAGGAGTGCTGTGAGTGGCGCTCGGACGTGAGGTGAGTCGCTTGCTCAGAGTGTGGAGGGAAAAGGGACGAGGCCACATGATAAAACCAAGACAGTACCGGAGAAAGGCACCTCAGGAAGACCACGCCGGAGGGACGAGCTCTGGCCCGCCACTGCTAATCCGGCCTGAAGATGGGAATCTTGGGTAGAAACTCTATCAGGATGACCTATAAATAGGACAGAGAGACATGAGGAATGTGAAGTTAACACATTTCACTAGTTATTTTATTCGAAACGGTCACTGTGCAATTAGATTTGGGTGTGTTCGTTGTTGGCTTACATATTCCATCATGTTGTTGGTTTCACACTTCCTTTTGCTGAGCCTCCAATGCAAACATAGCTAAATGAACAGAGGGCACGTAGTAAAATTAGCACCAGACAGGAAAATACAAACAAGCAAGAAACCTTAAGCATACCTTGTGATACAATCGGTTGTTTTCCCACTCCAGTAACTTTTCTATGGATCTGCGTGTCTATAGGTGAAAAGAGACATATTATTCAGCATTCGAAAGGTATAATAACAACTTTAAAAGATCTTGTTTAAGTCCTATACTGTACATTACTCTTCAAACGTTTGAAGTCTCTTATGCTCACCAAGGCTGCATTTATTTGATTATAAAATTTACAATTTAAAATAACAGCTTTCTATTTAAAAAAATATAATTTACTCCTGTGATGGCAAAACTGAATTTCTAGCAGCCATTACTACATTTCAGTGTCACAATTTAAAAAAAAAATCATTCTAATTCACTGATTTGTTGCTCAAGAAACAAACAGTTGTGCAGCTTAATATTTTTTTAATGTTTAAAGTTCAAACCATCAGCATTTTTTAAAATAAATAAATCTTTTGTAACAATATACATGATCAATTTAATGTATCCTTGTTGAATAAAGCATTAATTTATTTAAAAAATAAATAAAATAAAAAAAGTGCTGTAAATTATCTCAGAAAATACCGTCCCGCTTTTTGCCTAAAATAACAAATAATAAAAATGAATTGCAAAGTCTATGGATATTTCAAAGTAGAAAGGTAAAGCTTGTTTTTCAGTTTTTTTGTTTGTTTGTTTTTTAATTAAAACTTTGTTATTTGATCTGCAGAACTTACAATATTACACCATGTGATTAAAAATTACACCACATCCCAAACCCATATATTTCTTTTGTAGATGAGTTTCTATGCACCCGATATTTGTGTGTTTTTATAAACTGAGAGGTCAGTTTAACTCATTTCCCCCGGTAATTGACAGCATACCGCAAATGCTTTCGATAAAGCTAAACTTCTATTAAACCAGGAACATCCCTTGAAGTGACTCTGAACAAACTCACCCTCTTGCTCAGACAGATGACCGGCCACAGACTAAAGCCCAGGGTACAGCAACAGCACAGACAGCCGCACAGCAGCCAGCGCACATTCACCGGGAGAGCCTTCCTCAGACAGCTGTTCACACGGTTTATGCTGGCTTTGAACTCCTCTGGTGCGACCTGTAAATCAACAAATAAAGCAAGAACCCATGTCAGACCTCAGGATTACGTGGGACACTTGCCAAATTGTAAAATATACACTTGACAATCAGTTACTATTGAAAAGTGCAACTGTGCAAGTGAACATTCTGCTAAACTTCTGATTTGGTGCCCCACAAAAATGTTGGGCTAAACAATTGTTTTAAGCATTATATAATGTAACAGTGGTACACCATTCCTTTTCATTTCTGAATACCAGTAACAACAGACTTTGAGGCTTTTCATTTCTTCTCACTGAGATTACTAATATATAATTCTGTGTGTAATATGATTTCCTTGAGAAAAACCCGCTGAAAAGACACTTACCTTTCCTGTAAGGGCTGAGGGAAACTCAGACTCAAATTTATTGCTCAGTCCAAACCTGCAGGAAAGAAAAAAAAATTAAAGTTTTGCGATATCAATTTCTCAAACTTCAACAAAGGCACAAGATTTACTGTACAAGTCGTGGTCAGAATTATTGGCACCCTTGGTAAATATGATCAAAGAACGCTGTGAAAATAAATGCATTGTTAATCATTTTGATCTTTTATTTAAAAAAAATTCACAAATATCTAACCTTTCATTGAACTAAAACGACTGAAAATGGGGGGAAATCTCATTATGAAATAAATGTTTTTCTCAAATACACGTTGGACAAAATTATTGGCACCCCTAGAAAACAAAGGCCAAATTCCCTTAATCATCCATCACAATGAGAAAAACCATAGAATATATTTCTGATGTGCAGCAAAAGATAATTGAGCTTCACAAATTAGAAAGTGACTTTAAGAAAAGAGCTAGAGCAGTGAAAATTCCCATTCCCACCATCAGGGCAATAATTAAGAATTTTCCAATCAACAGAAAATGTTACAAATCTGCCTGGAAGAGGATATATATCGTCCTAATCGTCCTAATGCACGGTGAGGAGGAGAGTTTGAGTGGCTGAAGACTCTCCAAGGACCACAGCTGGAGAATTGCAGAAAACAGTTGAGTCTCGGGGTCAGAAAACAGCACCTACACCACATGTTGTTTGGGAGGGTTTCAAGAAAAAAAAGAATCAAAAGAAAATGCTCTCATCCAAAAACAATCCCCAGCATATTCTGTTGTCAGACACGACTGGAACTTCAAATGGGACTGGCTTCTATGGTCAGATGTAACTAAAAAAATTTGCTTTTTAGCAACAAACACTCAAGATGGGTTTGGTGCACACAGGGATAAAAAGTACCCCATGTGTACAATGAAATATACTGCTGTATTTTTAATGTTGTGGGCCTATATTTCTGCTGGAGGTCCTGGACATCTTGTTTAGACACATGGCATCTTTGATTCTATCAAATACCAACAGATAAAAAAACCAAGAAATGACTGACTCTATTAGAAATCTTATAATGGGCCATGTGTGGATCTTCCAACCGGACAATAATCCAAAAACAAACCTTAAAAACAACACAAAAATGGGTCACTGGGCACAAAACCAAGCTTCTGCTATGGCCATTCCAGTTCCCTGACCTGAACCCTATAGAAAATGAGTGTGGTGAACTGAAGAGGAGAGAAGCACCATCATGGAGCTGGGAATCTGAAGAGTCTGGAGAGATTCTGGATGAAGGAATTGTCTCTAACTTCATCAGGCATTATAGGAGAAAACTCAAGAGCTGTTATTATGCCAAATGGAGGTTTCAAAAAGCATTGAATAAAAGGGTGCCGTTAATTGTGTCCAATGTGTATAAGAGAAAAACATCTGTGTCATAATATTTCCTCCATTTTAAATTCTTATTCTCCAATGAAAGGTTAGATTTATGTGAATTTTTATTAGGGATGCACCGATATGAAAATTTTGCCCGATACCGATAACCGATTATTCTTTATTTTTGACAGCCGATAACCGATATGTTGGCCGATAAATCTATATCCAAATTGTTATATACTTTTTGAGAGCCTGATTACAAAAAAGGTCTCATCATTAAAAGCCACATCCCAAACACTTCAACATAAGCAGCCTAGTTTGAATGTTATTTTTTTTTTGCGCTGAGCTAAAGACGATCACCGGTAAACTGAAGTGCTCTTTTTGCACTTTTGCACTCTTTTTGTGTGAACACACTGTTCATTTTTTATACTAGACCAAGGGTTTTCATCCTGGGCATGTCCGTTGAAAGGTTTAGAGAAAAACAGTGTAAAAAATTTAAAAAATAAATAATACAATTATATCAAATAATTAAAATAAATGAAAATTATATTTCAAAAAATAAATCAAAACAAGTAAATAAATGACTAAAGATGTATTAATTTTTCACAGTATAGATTGGGTCTTTAAAAATGAGTTTTTTCACTCTTGTGATATTCCCATATATTTTAATAACTTTAACAAAAAAAGTTAAAAAAATTAATAAGATTTGACAACCTCAGTCACCATATCCTTTCATAGTATGGAAAAACGATGTAAACGATGACTGAAGGCTGTGAGAAAGAAAGTCACACAGGTTTGTAACAATTAGAGGGTGATCACAAATGACCACAGGACTTTAGTTTTTGAGTGGACTGTGCCTTTAAATGTGCAATATATATTTGTATGCGCATCCGAACATTTCAAATGCTTTCTAGGCTGTTAAACTAGGTTTTCAGACTAGTCTTAAGCTGCTGTAGTGATACTTAGCGTGTCTCTAATGAGTGCCGTGCTCCTAATGGCTTTGGTTTGCTCACTGGTGATTGATAATCTATAAAAACGAACAGATCCAGAGCTGCCGGGTGTCTTACACAGTGACGTGTCCGGATCCGCGCACTGCCACCGGGTCCGGAGCATATTTGAGCAGCTGCTCCTCCGCGGCCCTGTCCTCGTCCTCTTCTTCTTCCTCCTCGTCCTCGTAAATCTCGTCAAAGTCCTCCATCATCTCCCCCCGCCTCGGCCTCTATGCTTCCCGAAAGAAGCGCCGAGAAAGACCGTGTTTCGCACACGTTACGCAAATATTTGCAGTAACGCGGATCGCACAGCCAAAAGAAACGACGGTCCCGAAATCCGGATCAAAATATCAACATCCGCCGAAAATCTCGTGCGGGTTGATCTCGGGATACATCGCGAGAGTATTTAAATAACATTCAGACTGTTTGGGGTTCTTTCAATTGATCGGTGTGCGACCTGCATTCTTTATAACTAGTCAAATCAAGCGCTTTTTGACATACTCCTCCCTCAGCACGTTGAAAGAATAAAAGTTAATACAAGAGTTAGAATCATAATTCAAAACATGTTTCCCTATTAGTTTGCGTTTGCTATTTTACGAGGTACATTAAAACATTTGATTATATAGAGTATAAATATAAAATAATCTACCAAGCTTTTTATTTAAATGATATTAATACAATTTTATTAAACAAATAAAGAGCAGAATAAATATTGGCCATTGTATCCTAGTTTCCAAATATTTGCATTTTTTTATATTTAATATATAACTAGCCGAAGAATTAAGACTTTTATTTAGCAAGATTTTTTTCTTTCTTTGAAAATGATAACGGTTTCTTGAGCACCAAATCAGCATATTAGAGTGATTTCTGAAGGATCATGTGACACTGAAGACTGGAGTAATGATGCTGGAAATTCAGCTTTGCAATCACAGGAATAAGTTTGCGTTTGCTATTTTACGAGGTACATTAAAACATTTGATTATATAGAGTATAAATATAAAATAATCTACCAAGCTTTTTATTTAAATGATATTAATACAATTTTATTAAACAAATAAAGAGCAGAATAAATATTGGCCATTGTATCCTAGTTTCCAAATATTTGCATTTTTTTATATTTAATATATAACTAGCCGAAGAATTAAGACTTTTATTTAGCAAGATTTTTTTCTTTCTTTGAAAATGATAACGGTTTCTTGAGCACCAAATCAGCATATTAGAGTGATTTCTGAAGGATCATGTGACACTGAAGACTGGAGGAATGATGCTGGAAATTCAGCTTTGACATCACAGGAATCATTTACATATTAAAAGAGAAAACTGTTATTTTAAGTTGCAGTAATACTTCACAATATTTCTGTTTTTACTTTATTTTTGATCAAATAAATGCAGCTTTGGTGAGCATAAGAGACTTCTTGCAAAAACATTAGAACAATCGGTGTACATATATTGTTCACAATATGTAAAAAAAGGCTAATACAGAATATATGAAAGACAACAAACATTACCAAATGCTCTTTTTTTAATCCAACAAATCAACATCTACATGGTACAACTGCACTGGAATAAACAACAAAACAAAAAAAGGGAAACATGAAAACAAAAGGAAGGTAAACTGGATTATAGTTTCATTTAGCATGATTTGGTTGACAACCAGCTCTCTGATGACAAGAAGGAAGGAGAGCAGAGAAGAGAGACAGGAGTTACTCCATGGCCTCCTGGTTCTCCTGGTCAGCAGAACGCTCCTCGCTGGGCTCCTTGCCCTCTTTGCTCCTCTTGGACTTCTTGTGCTTATGGCGCCGGTGACTGTCACCCTCCTCGCTGTCATGTCTCCGTCTGCTACTGCTGTAATAGAAACAGAACAAACAGGTTCTTAAAGAGAACAGAGAACTTCAGATTGTGTATGCATGTGTGTGTTTGCGCGCATGACAGAAATTAACTTTCCTATTACGGGGCCATACTTACCTCTTTAAACTGATTTCCAAAGGCATTTTTATTTTTATAAGGACTTTTTTGTAACCTTATTAAATGTATGAGTCATTACATTGCAATTACAATTGCATAAATAATAAGATTAATGTTTTAAATATAACAAGTTTCATATAGAAGTGTGAAATTATTTTTTTTTT